TAAAAAAAAACAGGAAAACATAGTGTTTTAATCACAATGAATTATATTTGCATGGCAAGAAGTAGTGAGAAAACTTGGGTCATAAAAGGTTTAAGACAAAATTTCCACACATTTTTAATACTGACAATATCAATTATTCTCAGTCTTAAAGGCCTGTGGATAATTTTAACTGGTTTTACAGTTTAGATATCATTCACACGCTTGTGTACAATTACTGAAGCAGCAAACAAATAAGTTGTATCTGGTTACAATGAATTTATCATGAGGAATAACAACTGATATTAAACTGAGATTTTTGGTGGTCTATCAGTATAGTTACATGTCTACTGGGATAGAATGGAATCAGCGACAAAATTAGTTGAATTGTATCACTCTTAGGAAAGAAATTATCCTTGCAGGTCAACTGTGATGAAAGAAATTATAGGAAAGAAACTTGAAAATTTTTAGGCTACGAGGTGGTCCAGTCAGGACGGCAACACCAACGAAGAAATCGATTGAAAAATGAGTTTCTGTTTTTACCCAGAATTTCGAAAATGGCTGCCTGTGTTTACCGTCTCGAGCAGTGCCCCACCTCAACTTCAGCAGAACGTATATAAGCAGTGTTGAATTCCAAATGAAAATTCAAAAATTTACCCTCACGGTTTCCGTTCGCAGACGCAAACTCTGGTGATTTCACGTCGTTGTTTTGCAGAGGACGTCTTAGAAAAATAGGGTCATCCTCGGTGTAAAACCCTGACGAGGTTTTCTTTGTTTCATGAGGTATTGTTTTGCTGTACGCTATTGTTTTTTTGTGTTTTGTTGTCTTTGTTTTACGTCACTCTTGAGCTTTACAGGTTTTTACACCGAGGATGAGCCGGAAAATACAAATTTTTAAACGCAAGTGCTGGCTATTGTTCTGCCCATTCGATCTTTTATTTTGCTACGTCTTCGTTGCCGTACCCGTCGTGGTTTGCTAAAGGTCCCTACTAGCTTGGCGCCACCACCAACTGTGGTGCAAAAGTTCATGTTGAGGACGAGGCAAGTTCTAAAGCTCTTGTATTTTTGGAAGGTTCTTGTTTCCTGAAAGGAATCTGAACACAGTCAAATTAGGTAAAAAGTACCTTAACATTTATCTACAATGATAGCAACTTTAAAGGAGGTATTCAATGAAATTTATACTAAACAATAAGGCTACAATACCCACCTTCCACCGTGAGAAATTAAGGTAGCTGAACACAGATTTTGATACCTGTTTCTTTCACCATTTTCTCTGGAACCCTTGATCTCTCGGTCGCCAAAACTGGCAGCAAGCAAGTTAACAACACAAACTTTATTTTTTCGATAGTTAAGCTGACGTAAGTGCCGTTGCCATGGCGACGTGATTAAATTTAAACAGGCTATCAAAATCGGTATTGTTTATTTGTAGAAAATCTAGTCATTAGATTTTCTTTATAATTTGCTTGTAACGATACCCACACGTTAACACCATTTTGCCAACAATTTAACAGAGATCTTTAATTATTCCTTGTTGAAGGTTCACTCGATTATCTAGAATTTCCTTTGTTAAAAATCATTTTTTTTCAATAATCCAGTTACTTATTTCGTGAAGTATTTTTGTGCCAAATCTTGTGAAGTTCTAATGAGTGGTTCTCAAGAAATAGGCATATTTCCGAGAAAGCAATTTTCCATTCAATCGCAATTTTTTTACTTACTACGCATGCGCTACATTTAATTGGGTTCTTTCGGTAACGACGAAAACGCTGAGAATTGCTGGGTTCTTTGCACCGTTAACTTTTCTAACATGTCTTTGTAATAAAAGATTAAAGCCCTCAATACACTGCGCCAACTATAAAGAAAGATAGCACAGATAGTGCGGATACGTTTTGAGTATATAAAATGACTGCTCTATTGACAAAGTATTTGTTTTTTGCAATCCTTGTGCGCATGCTGAATTGCATCAGCAAAAGCGCGCGCGAAAACTGTGTTCGGCCACCTAAAACACGAAGGCGCGCTATATAAGGAAGTCTTCCCTGGGAAGACTTAGGCTCATTTGTCACTCAC